AAAAAAAAAAAAAAAAACCCAAAACTATCTCCATTCCACACAAAAGAAAAATAAGAATCTGAGAGGTTACATAACTTGATGGAGGTCAGACAGGAAGGGGTGACGCTCTCCAAACCCCAAGTGGTAAGTCTGAAAACATGGGTTCATCTTTGGTGTAGTTACAGCTCCCCATCAACATCATCTCCTCCACTACTGGACTCTTGCTGCGTCCTTATTTTATGCAGAATGCTGACCCTGGATTATGTTTCTAATACCACTGTGCCTAGATCACTAAACTATAAGCATTGCATTGCTTGATGGGAGGGATACGCTCTGAGAAATGCACCATTTGGTGATTTTGCCCTTGCGTGGATATCATAGACTGATAAACCTAGATGGTCTAGCCCACTACACACCTCAACTACAAACATAGGCATTATGTTACTGTACAGAATACTGTAAGCAACTGTAACACAGTGGTACAGGTTGAATATCCCTCATCCAAAAGGCTTGGGAGCAGAACTGTTTTGGAGTTCAGACTTTTTTGGATTTTGGAATATTTGCATTATACTTACTGTTTGAGCATCCTAAATCCAAAATTCAAAATGCTTCAATGAGAATGTCCTTTGGGTATCACATCTTTGCTCAAAAAGTTTCAAATTCTGGAGCATTTCAGAGTTTAGATTTTTGGATTAGGGATACTCAACCTATATTGTAATTTTAGGGGACCACTGTCATATACGTGGTCCCTCTTTGACCAGAATGTCCTTACGCAGTGCGTGACCATTGCAAAAGAAAGGTGGTTCAGGAGAATAGTTAACAGAATGGTCTCAGAAGCTGGACTGGCTGCCTTTAAATCCTGGTGCTACTGTTGGCCAGTTATGTGACCTTAGGCAAGTTATTTCATCTTGGTAGACCTCAGTTTTCCCATCTGCAAAATAGGGCTAAAATAACACTCATGTCACAGAATTGCTGGGAGAGTTAAATGTGTTAATATATGGAAAGCATTCAGAAAAATGTGTAATGTAGAGTAGATACTCTAAAATTGTCAGCTATAGTTATAATTACTAACATTTATTCACTCAGGTAGATATATGTGCGTGTCTATATAAAACAACATTTATAAATGTGGTTAAGGACCCAGCTTTCCACACTCTGAGAATCCTTCCTCTCTTTATTTACATCCCACCTCTTGATGCCTTGGGTCCAAATTCCCACCAGCTCCTCAGGGAGCTAGTCCATTGGTCACATCTGGAAATGACACCACTACAAGCTGCTTGGCATAGCACTGATGTTCAAGAATATCAGAAAGCCTCCTCCCCAAGGCCCAATGTCCTGCTCTCCTCTCTCCTACAAGGCCACAGGAGAAGAGAAAGGAAAGAAAGCGAAAGTCAACATGCCTGTTGGAGCTCTGGCTGCTTCTTCACAGCTAGTTATGGGGAGAAAAACAGAAGGGCCATTATGCTTGTGGCCATGTAGAGAGCCAAGGATAAAACCTTGGATCGAGCACAGGAGCCGGAGCTGAATGGCATAGCCAGTCTGAAAGTGGAAACCAGGCCACCCGGGGCTGGCCTTAGCCATGCTAGTCTGCTCAGAAGGCCAGGGTGAAGTGAGAGGCTGGTTCTTCAGCCAGAAATGTGGACACTGGCTGGCTGGAGAACGTTTTTGGTGTCCATCTAGCCACCACAGCTTGGTTTTGGGTCACCAGAAGTGGGGGAGGGTAAAATATAAACCAACACAAAGTGCTGGGATGGCCTGAATTCTCTTTTCCTGAGGTCCAACCACAAGGTCTCTGCTGTTCATTCAGGGGCCCAGCCCCACCAGAGAGAGTGCTCTTAGGAAGCAAAGTGAGACCCCATCAGCCCACAGTGCCAAAGGCTGCTTAGTCATTCCAGAAACGTGTGTTAATGAAGGAGGCGGAAGCTACCAGCTTCCATGAATTTTTTGATTATTTCACTTATCTGTTCTCATCCTGCTGTGCCAGAGTTACTGAGAACCAGCGAGGGCTGGTGGACAGGTTATGGTATCTGAGAAACTCCAGATGTCTCTGTTTGACCATTCAGTACTTTCTGCTTCTTTTGTGAATTGTAAGATAGCTAATCCTATTCTGGAGTGTTTTAGGGTCCTACTTCTCCAGCCTCATCACCCACCCTCCACCCACCACACTCTAGTTGCAGACACTTTCATTCTCCAAAGAATATTCCATGTGCCAGGTACTAGGGACATAATATTACACAAAATCACCCTGTAGGCCTCACAAAATAGCCTGTTAGTTCTAATAAAGAAGACAAAAATAAATAAACAAACAGAAAAACATACAAAAAGTCTGACAATAAAGTCTACAAACTCATCCTAGCTTGCTGAATATCACTATAGTCACCTTCAAAGTCCTCCTCTGGGGAAGCCAAGTTCTGAGGCCTCCCACCTAGTTCACCCTTCAAAGTGATTTTGGAAATCTTTCTGGAATGACCATCAGGATCTGTCATCCTATGAGGTCTGATGATTAAGTGCACCAACTTGCCAACATGAGCTTACATTGGAAGCACTGTATAAACAACTTGGTGAGGTTTCACAACCTTAGAATATCAGTGTCTCCAGCAGTGTTCTTGTCAACATGTGGCAGTGTCTGGCCGAGTGGGGTTCACTATTGTTGTATGTTTTTGTGTGCCATACAATGACAATTCTGGTGGTCATTCCAGAAAAAGAGTTCCAAAATTGCTTTGAAGGCTGGACTAGGCACTGGCATCAGTGTATAACTTCCCAAGAGGTGACTACTGTGGTAATGTTCAGCAGTGAGGTATATGGAGCCCATCTTCTAAGAGGAGTTCGTGAACTTATTTTTCATTCCTCTTAAATACATATAGTTGGTGATAAGTATCATGAAAATATAAGGTGGGTTGAGGAAACAGAAGCTGCTGGCATTGCTAGTTTAGACAGTAGTCTTGAATTGGTTTTCCCATCCCCCTCCCTTTATTCCTTTCTTTTATTAATACCCCTCACCTCTGAAACAGGGGTGGGTTAGGCCAATCATGGCATCCTCTGTCCCCATCACAACAACTGGTTCAGGGATAGGCCCCACTCTGGCCCAGAGTACATCCCTAGGAATTTTACACATGGCAACAAGGAAAAGAATGCCCTTGCCTTCCTGGGCAAGGAGCTAGCTGGTAATCCCAGGGGTGACACTGGCCATGCTCCCTGTTATGAGGGAATGCTTGCCTATAGAAGGAAAGAATAAATATAAGGAGAGATAAGAAGAGTGAGAGAAAGATAGAGGAAGAATCTGACCGTGGACCTTCTCGATCCTTCCCTGAGACCTCTGGCACTGCCCAGCCCCATGGTTCTCCCTTTCATCTCAATATCCTTGTCATAAGTCCCCTCAGCGTAAGGACCACTTCTTTTGGAAGGACTTCTTTGATACATCCAGGCTCAGTGAAAGGCACTGTCATCAGCTTTCTGAGACCCTTTTTTTGTACACAGCAGCAATAGTCTGTGAATACCTGTGCCAGACTCTATGCCAACAGGTGTCACTGATACACGTATTCCAGAACCTGGCAAGTTGCACCCCACTTAATCATTTTAATGTACATTTCCCCCACTAGAAAAATGAATGTAAAAATATCTGCCTAGTCTCCTTTGTGAAAGAAAAAATTTTGATTTCACATTTCTTTCAGCCTGTGTATATGAAGAAGAGATTACAGTTGGCCCTGAATACCTGTTCTCTCTACTAAAAATACTCACAGTTTTAAATTGAAATAAGGTCTACTTTCCCCAAGTCTTCCCTTGCAGCTAGGTATGTGTGAGCCAGTGAGATGGAAGGAGGGGTGTAGCTTAGAGCACCCCAGAAGTGGCTTAAAGGGGAGGCATAGGCCCTTCTGCCCCCCATCCTTCCTTTCTCTTGGCTTGAACAGGAACCAATGGCTCAAGCCTGAGCAGCCATCTTGGGCCGGCAGGTGAGAAGCTGTGGGTTGAGAGTGTTTGCACAAAAAGATGAAAGGGGCTTGGGCCTCCTCTCACAAAACACACATGCCCTGGACTGCTGATGTCTAGATCTCCTTTATGTGAGTTAGAAATACAATTCCATTTTATTTTAGCTGTTTCTTTTCTTGTATTATTTTGCATTTCCCAGCTGAACCTAATTTAACTGGTAAAATGAGATAACATAGTATAGTGTAGTAAGAGCTTTAGGTGCTTAGACCCACCAGTGAAGCTCAGGTCATTTACTCTGTAGCTAGACAGAGACAAGGGAGTATCATAACTGGTCACTTCAGGGAAGCCATACTCTCTCAAGGAACACTGACCCCATCGTGTCCTGTGATGTTATCTACAGTCATTAAATAGGGTAACAGGCATTCACAACAGGTCATCTCAAGGCCACTGAAGTAACTGTCTCAGCAGAAAAGGAGGTTACAAGAGCTGAAGAAACCAACACCGCTCAGATTATAGGGGAGCTAGGTTAGTAGTGAGAAATATCAGTAATGAGAATGAATCAGACGCCAACGGAATCCAGCAGGGAACCGTGAGGCAGAGCTTTTAAAGAGTTTCCCCCAAATGACCCACATATCATTATTCAAGTTCAAATATAGTAATAATAAAACAACAAATCTTTAGACTTCTCAAATCCACACTGGAACTTACCTTTGTAGTTCCTCTAAGCATAACGTTAGATGAAAAAATTAAAGGATAAATCAGAGCTAAGACTAAAGCAACGCATTGTGTGTGGGGATGTTCATTTTATTTTTAAAGGAATTTAGTTTAAAGCACTTTGTTTATATATGTAATAAGCAAACAAAAGTCCATAAATATGTGAGCTATTTATGTGAAGAACTATTAGCATTATTAGCTTTATTTTTATTTATTTATTTTGAGACAGAGTCTTACTTTGTCACCCTCAGTAGAATGCCATGGAGTCATAGTTCACAGCAACCTCAAACTCTTGGGCTCAAGTGACTCGCTTGCCTCAGCCTCCCAAGTAGCTGGGGCTACAGGTGCCTGCCACAACGCCCACTACATTTTTTAGATATAGTGTCTCTCTTGCTCAGTCTGGTCTCAACTCCTAAACTCAGGCAATCTACCGAACCCACCTCAGCCTCCCAGAGTGCTAGGATTATAGGCGTGAGCCACCGCACCTGGTTGGACTGTTAGCTTTCATTTAAGGAAAGGAGAATAAATTGTTAGAAAGTGGGAACAAATTATTATTTTTTGTATTTAAAAAAAAAAAAACATAAAGCACCGAATTCCTCTCACTGAGGTCTTTAATTCATTTATTTTGCATGTTACAGAAATGAGAGTGGGTAAGGCCTCAATTACTTATGCTTAGATGTGGGTCTTATCCAAATACATGGATACTGATTGCAAATGATACTCACCAGTACTTTGTGTGAGTTACATACTGTATATTCCTGAACCTTAAAAATGAACGCTTCGGAAGGTACACAGGGAACATTCCATTGTTCCTTTGACAAATTTCTACCTCAGGCAATCGTTCCCATAATTGAATTAACACATTAAGCTTTTAATAATGTACAAAATATTTTCCAAATTTTCAAGTCATTCACATATAGTGGACGGAGAATGCTTCTAACTGATCAGAGCTTGTCCACGGTGGATGCCAGGCAAGAGCTTGGCCCACGTTACCGCACCCACACCAAGGCCCTGACGGGTGAGCACAATGACCTTTAGGACAAAAGTGCACAGCAAGTTTTCGATTTTTGTATAATACTGCATTGTTTCATTCAAGCATTATTCCCCCAAGAAAACAAGCACGGAGCTCCTTGGCATCCAAAGCCACACACCAACAGATCAAATTTGCTCTTTTGGAATTAAAGTTGGATAAAGCTCAGCTCTCTCGTCCGATGGGTATAAAAGTTCAGGCAGGTGTGAGATACACAAGGCAAAGATGTCGTTGAGAAGACAAGTGACTGTTTCCTGAGTGCGAGACGTCTTTGGCTTGTGCTGGTCCATCCCCAATACTCTAATAATCTTAAAAACAAGCAAATACGCTGCTTTCTGCCTTGGCTAAGCCTCATGGGATAAAGAAGAAAAGTCAAGTTACCTTTCTCATCTGAGCCAACAATCCTTCAAACTCCTTCAGGTTGAGTGTGGTTCCACTGTACGCTGTACAGCTGTTCGCTGCTTTTCCCAGCCAGTAAATGGTAACTAACACCTGTGAGAAAACAACACACAAGAGCAGAATTTTCCCTCAAGAATGACGTTCCAACGAAGGAATCAATAATGCTCCACTACCAGGATGCTGGAAGGAGAGGACTGATTTACAAACCCCCTACCTAGGAGGTATCCATTAAAAGCAAAATCGTTTTAATAAGAACCCAATGCCGTATCAGTCAACACAAACAAGATTCGATAGTTAAAACAAGACTCCAGTTTTAGAAAAAGTTAGGTTGTGAGGAAGTGATCTCTAAGATACCAAGCTGATCTTGAAGACTGCAAGAAAGAAAAATAAATCCTCCAAATTGTTTTCATAGAGCGAATGTTTTACAGGGAGGCAGCAACGCTTCACAATCTTCACCCAGAAGAGCAACGGGAGAGACTGCCAATTCCCTCTGAGAGAGGAGCTTTTGAAGGCCCATAATTTCTGCTTGTGGACACAGAGGTTCTCCTAATACCAATGGCCAAACCCCCAAAGGAGTATCGATAAAAACGAATTGATAGTTCTGGGCACAGGATCAACACAATATATCCAATTAAAGTCAGAAGAAAGCAATGTAATGAATAATGTGATCTGCAGACATCTAGCTTTGGGTGTAGTTAGACTCCCATTAATTTGAGATGGGAAAATTTTAGCCTTGACAAGGCCGATACCAATTAAATGACCTTGGTTTAATATTCATTAAATGGTTTGAACAGTCCCTGTTCCTCTTTCTCCTTCTCCTCTTCCTCTTCTCCTTTAGAGACAAGTCACCTAGGCTAGTCTCAAGCTCCTGGCCTCAAGCGATCCTCCCTCTTTGGCCTTCCAAATATTCGAGGGTTTGAAGCTATAGTCCTAACTTAATTTTGTTCTGCCTTTCCAGAGAAGCTGGCCACAAAAGCAAATGCTCTTTACATTCACTTCCGTAAAACCCAAATAGGAGTCACTGACAACGAGCTTCTTAAAACAGAGTTGTTAAGGATCTGAAGCTTCTGTACAACACGAAGGCTACCCCTTTGTTTTCATGTTCTGTCCTGTTGCTTCAACCTGTCTGGGAAGTACTCACTGTACTTCTTTTCACTGAGTAGGCTGGAAAATGCTTTGGACAATGTCCTATCCTTCCGTGGTTCCCACTGGCAACAGGCCCAAAATATGGCCATGAGCATCGATGCGAGGATGTGATTCAGTTTTTACTTCTGTGGGACAATTTTACTTCATGAATCTTTCAAAACTTCCAGGACCTCTTATTTTTAACTGGTTGCTTCCATATAAATTTTTGGAGAGCGGATGATCCAAATGTCAGCACATCAACTAGGACCATAAAATAACTAACGTGGGCTAAGGGGATGAGGCTGTGGTGAAAGGTCTAACAGAAAGTAGAAAGCAGACTGTGTTGTCTTAGATTAAGACTTTTCTGACTTGCTTAACACCGTATGATAAAAAAAAAAAAAAATGGCATGTACCTCTAGTTTTATAGAGGAAGGAAAAGAAGATAAAAAGAAGAAAATCAATCAAATATAAGAGCACCTGGGAAAAAATTTAAAGAAAAATAGGTTACAGCCAATTTTGACATTTAGGATGCAGAAGGTGACTTCTCATATTCTTAAATTTAAATTTAAAATAAAAGAGCACTCACATACATGTCTTCTGAAACTAAAATCTAACTACCAAAAGTTGATTTGGGGATGCGGCAGTAAAAACACAAAAGGTTTCTGGGAGAACAAAATACTCAAAGCACGGCAGTCAACACTATTCATATGATACGAATCTTTCCCTAAAACCATCTGCCCAACTGCTTAATTCAATACCCAACCTGTGCCAACTAATGTTAGCATTGAGACTGATGACTGTGTGTCTAAGTAACCAATCACAGGCAGAGCGGAAACTTTCATTTGTTTATTTCAGGTTTGAATGCTTATCTACTTAAAGGGAAACCCCCTACTTTTATATCTACTATTTTTATTTTTTATCACAGTCTTTAATTATTCTATCAGATACACATGTATTTTTTTCTAAGAAAAAGTCTTTCCAGCAAGGCATGTGCGAGGCAGTAAGCATAGTTAAATTTTACAACTAACCCATCAAAGTCAGAAGGATATAAGTGTAGAAAGGGAAGTTAAAACACTTACATTTTTCAGCTTCCTACTATAATCCAGGCTCCTAGTTAAGGAAAAGGAAAAGAAAATAGTGTCAGAATAGTGGTTTGTTCACTGTGCTCCTCCCTCCAACGCCTCCAAGATGTGCTTGAAGTGAACACACATAATGAAATCAGAAGAATATCATAGTTGCTTAAGGTTTATGATCGGTGATTTCAGGCACTGAATAAAATTATTTAGAAGGCAAACTGTAGAAGGACGGGGTGGGATTAAAATTCCATAGTGCACCAGGAAAAGACGAATGCTTTGTAACATCTGTAAAGTGAAGAATTCTGTTTAAAACTGGAACTGTTTATATTTGCATTCTCAGAGTTTCACCACTGAAGAGTCGGCCTTGATTGTGGACCTTGATTGAAATTTGACTGCCCTTCGAAAATCTTAAAACAAGTACTTTTAATGATGGTCTGAAAGCTTACTCAAGTAGACCTGAAAACACGTGTACAGAAAGCAATACCAGGCAAATAATTATTCTTTTCTGCTCTGGACAAAAATTAGCACTGGGAATTAACCATCAGCAGGAAAACAGGCCTGTTATGTTAGAATATACTGCATGCATTCTCATGTTTACAAAATGTTTGCTCTAAACTATAACCAAAGAAGCTATCTGAAGGTACTTTCTAAATATTCACAGGATGAAATACAAAAATTTCTCCAAAGTTATTCAAAATTTCTTTAACATGTCAACAAATAAACACTGTGTTTATCTATTTATTTTTTCCGCAGTAACTCCAGTAAGGGAGGAGGGACTATAATCTATCATATAGGTCAGTCAAGAATTCTCTTAAAGTATTTAGACCCTTATTACTTCATTGCAGCACACTCAGACCTAAAAAATACATATTAACTAGTAGGTGGACAATTTTTAGTCAATTGAGATGTAAAGGAATAAAAAACCACGTAGTGTGCTATAGTGATAAACCCATCAACGGGGACTTAGACTGGAAGAAGCATTGGTCCGATTTGGATTCTATTAAGGAAATATTTTCATCTCTCTGCTCTGCCTTCCCCCCAGTCGCTCAGAGAGAGGGAATAAGGGAGGGGTGGGGGTCTCGGTGTGTGACACACCTCCTGGGGGCAATTGTAAGATGGACTTGATCCAACAGATGCAATCAGTGTAACCTCAATGAATCCCCAACAGTAAAAATAAATAAATAAATAATTTAAAAAAGGTATTTTCATGTTTCTGTTTTTAATCAAAAAATGTCATTATCTGCTTAGACATTGTCTAGGATGTCTTTTGTTAATTTAACAATCCAGATTTAAACATCTACATATAAAAGATTTAAAATGTTTAAGAAAAGCAGGTTAAAAATAGAGAACATAAAACTTTATCTGCATCGACAATAAAAGTTCATTAACTAAAACTGTGACGGGTGCTATAAATGATGGTTGGGTATATGGTATGAGCCCATTGAGTATTTGTTGAATGACGTCCACATAACAACCAATTATGCACAAATACTTGCACGTTTTTACAAAGAGCTCAGGAGCAACCCAAAGCCAGTCCATGTGTTCATGCAATTGCTCTGATTCCCGGAACGACACCGTGTGCCTGTCTTGATTATGCTTCCCTTTCCCATCAAGCTTTCTGGCATCCATTACAGGTAGAGTTCACTAAATTACACACGCAGTAATCATTTGCAGGCTCTTCTCATTTTTTCTTTTTTTGGTCTACTCAAGTTACTTCTAAAAAAAAAATTTAAAGCAAGAAAAATTGCCCAAAATGAAAGCTGAACTAAAAAGTATTCTTTTAGAAGACAATTTTCAGAAAAGTATTCAAATGTCCTCTGTGGGATCGACCCGTCACTGTTTATGCTGTTGATGGGTGACAATGGGGTGCCTTCCATGTGTGCCCCTGTTCTGCTCAGCTCTGGGAGAGCAAAACAGAAAATACAGCAGGTCAACTTTCATCTACCTCAGCTTACAAAATCTGCATATGTTACAAATGTCCCCTGTACAGTGCCACATTCAATCAGTGTCACTTACCAAAAAGTTGGGAAGCAGATAATTTATTCCTCCTCACTAAAGCTAGAAACAACTTCCTAAGGACTGTAAATAAATGTAAGGCATAATTCTAAGACAAAACTTCTTTATGTTCCTCTAAATGTCCATACAGTGAAATAGTTGTTCTCCATTGTGATTCCAGGTTCAATTACTACCCTGCCTGGGGACTCCTCCTCCCACCACACTCATCAGTATGCATTACAGTAACCACACCCTCCACAGTTACTTTTTTTTAATTCAAATTAATATGAGGGAACAATTTTTAGGTTACATTGTTCCATTTCCAAGTTCAAGTTGCAGGAGAGCCCCTCACCCAGGGGGCTGCTGAACACCCTCACATTGCACACATTAGGCGGGATCCTGCCAGGTGTCCTCCCTGCCAATCACCCCCCTTCCCCTCCCCTCTCCTTCCTCACCCTTCTGCCTTACAAACCGTAACATATGTAGACCATGGTATACTACTCGGCCATAAAAAGATGGAGACTTTACATCTTTCATGTTTACCTGGATGGAGTTAGTTTCCTTTTTCTTTTATTTATTATTTATTTTTGAGACACAGTCTCACTTTGTCACCCTCAGTAGAGTGTCATGGCATTGTAAGTCACAGCAACCTCAAGCTCTTGGGCCTAACTGATTCTCTTGCCTCACCCACATAGCGATTGACTACAGGCACCCACCACAATGCCCGGCTATTTTTAGAGACCGGGTCTTGCTCTTGCTCAGGCTGGTCTGGATCTGGTGAGCTCAGGCAATCCACCCACTTTGGCCTTCCTGAGTGCTAGGGTTACAGGCTGAGCCACTGCGCCCGGCCTTTCCCTTTTTCTTTTAAAGAGGAAGCTGGTTCTTCCCACAGCCAGGTCTCACACCCTTTCCTAAAATACCGACGCTTCCGAAAGGCCGCCTTAACCACCTCTGCATGGGCCACTGTTTTCCACATCACTCTGTGTTAATTTTCTTCCCAGCACTTATCACTTCCTGCAGCCATTTTCTCCGAAGTTACTGATTTGCTTCTCGTTTCTTGATGTGAGAGTGTCAAGTGCACAGGGCAGGGACCTTGGCCATCATGTTCAGTCCATTTCTCTGGTAATGAAAATTATCAATATCTGGCACATAGGAGCTGCTCAGCAAATGTTTGCTGAATGAATGAATGATAAGAGGGGAATGTGGCTTGGTGCTTGTGGCTCAAGTGGCTAAGGTGCCAGCCACATATACCTAAGGTGGTGGGTTCAAATCCAGCCTGAGCCCGCCAAACAACAATGACAGCTGCAACCAAAAAAAAATAGCCAGGCGTTGTGGTGGGCGCCTGTGGTCCCAGCTACTTGGGAGGCAGAGGTAGGAGACTCACTTAAGCCCAGGAGTTGGAGGTTGCTGTGAGCTGTAATGCCACGGCACTCCCCCCAGGGGACAGTTTGAGGCTCTCAAAAAAGAGGGGGGGGAATGTGATGGAGAAGCATTGCCTAAGGAAAATCAGAGTGCTTAATGAAGGAAAAATTAAAAAGGGGAGAAAATGAAAAGAAATGCCAAAGAGAGAGACGGAAAGACAGAATAAAGAAGAAAAGCAGGCAGAGGGAGGAGATGGAGAGAAAAGAAGGAGGAAGGTCAAAAGGACAGGGAGAGAAGAGGATGGGGCGTGATTAAGCAGGGGCCACGGCCACCTGCCACTTGCCTACATGACTTTTCCCCTTTGGGTTGCTTTCCGTACCCTTTAGTTACAGTCTCTTTACTTAGAAGTTGGTTGTAGAACTTTCCAGATCTACCTATACAGAGAGAGCTTTACCCAGAATCATTCCTGGGAGAACAATCTGTCCAGTTCCATTTCCTAGATGAAGACACAGGCCTCACAGCTCCAGGGAGTTTATCCAGGACTACAGGTCTAGCAGGTAGCAGACTCAGAACTAAATCCTCATGTCTGGATGCCCAGTTTTTTATAGATAAAAAATAAAGGTGATGTGAGTTCTGAATTTCTAAAATCAATCTCAGAATTCTCCTGGCTTAGTGACAAACTGATTTAAAGTGTCTCTTAAAAAAAAAAACCCACAAAACTGAACGCAGCGACACTATCAAAGTGAACTTTCTTTCACCCTCCAAGCCATGTATAGCGACCAATTATTACCCAGGACTGTGCACAGCTGCCATTGCTCCCGGTCACTGGCCACTCAGGTGAAACTACGCACAGGAGATGAGGCAGAACCTCAAACAATTTCCTCACATGAACAATGATTTATGGGGGCTGGATTTATGTACAGTGGTAAATGGAGCATGTGATGACTCAGACAAGGTGGACGGTGGTTTCCATACTCAAATATCCTAACTTTTATTCTGCTACTTTTCTCACTTAACTAAAATTTCTCCATGAGAAATATTAAAGAATGGCACACAGACAACAGAGAAGTAATTTCAGATACTCTATCACGTCTGACTTTCTTATTCCCAGTCATGAATCATAAAACCCAGCAGAGACTCCAAGCTTTGGCCGCTCCGTAGTTTCCACTTGGTCCCTCTTTTTCCCCATCATTTAAAAAAAAAAATCAAGATCAGCAAATAGCATAAAAGTAACAGCTCTGAATTTTGGCTTCTCTTCCTTTTCTATTTTTCCACGACAAAATGACCCAAAAGTAACCAAAAGGGGGAGATTTGCCAATCCACAGCCCCATCTCAGTCAGTAAGCTCATTATATTATTTGACTAAGGTGGAAAATGTTTTACATGAAATTAGTAGGGTCTAAGGAAAGTCTAAACTAACACAGCTGGTCATCTACTCTGCCAACCCGTAAGGACATTTCCTCTGGTCACAAACTATCTCCTTACAAAAAGTATACATTTGCCTTTTCTTTTACTGTGACACTCTGCTCCAGGAATTCTTTGGTCCCAAACATGGCACACTGAGTAGACACAGTGCCAAAAGACCAATGATCCATCTTCAAGAACTGGATCCCTGGCTCAGCGCCCAGAGCTCAGCAGCTAAGGGTGCCAGCCACATACACCAAGGCTGGGGAGTTCAAGTCCAGCCCAGGCCTGCCAAAAAACAATGACAACTACAGCCAAAAAATAGCCAGGCACTGTGGTGGGCACCCAAAGGCCCAGCTACTTGGGAGGCTGAGGCAAGAGAATCACTTAAGCCCAAGAGTTTGAGGTTGCTGTGAGCTGTGGTGCCACAGCAATCTACTGAGGGCAACATAGTGAGACTCTGTCACAAACAAACAAACAAACAAACCAAAACAACTTGATCCCTGACACAGAGGAGAAAGAAGTTACAAATGTAAAAGACGACACGATTTCTCCATCATCTGACGCCTCCCCTGCACGGCAGAGCTCAGATCTGCTCACCTCGTTTTGTGCCCTCCAAGCGCCGATCCATCCGCTCAGTTGGAGCCAATAAACGGCTTTTGTCTAACACATACAGATTCTGTGCCTATTTTTCTGTTGCCTCTGTTAAGCTTTACTTGACATTTTCCTCTGCCCCTTCAAAGTTCTAATTCTTTCAAAAAATTATGTTTGATCAGAATGAAAAGCTATGGGCCGAGGGAGGGCCAATGCGTGCTGTTTTGAAAGCTTGATTTTCAGCTTCACATTTTTATTTTATTAGACATAACCAATTCTCTTCCTCCTGGAACTTACCATAAGATCTCAGAACTGCAAATCAAAGCATAAGGAGTTTCTCTCAAACATTAATCATGCATAACTTACTTGACTGTTACTCTGCTGGACGTGTCCTGGAGGTCACTTGGGTCAAAAAGCTGAGACTCTTTAAGGCCGAGCTCTTTACAACCTCTCAAGAATAAGATAATATTGTCCTGGAAGGAAGAAAAGAAATCCAAATCAATATTATTTTAGATTATCTTTACGAACCAGCTCCTCCCAAATTGCTATGAGATCACCACTCACAAAGGTAGCTAGAATTGGGTCCCAATCACGGCTTGTTGTATTACAAATCAAATACTTTGTTAGGAAATGCTAAACAGACACTTCAGACTTCCAAATCCACAGCGAGGTCAAATTCACTTTTTCCTTTTAGCTTGACACATTTGTACAAAACTGCAATTAAAATGCCATTTGAGAAGGAAATCTTAGCATTGTTTGCAGAAACAGTGCCCCAAACCCAGTCATTCCATATTGCTGCAAAGTTCTTTGTGTCTTCTTGCCTAGAATCTGGTTCAAATTGATATTTGTTGGGAAGTTTTCTCATCTTCAGTAAGTTCTTTTTTTTTTTTTTTTTTTTT